GGGAGCCGTAGTCTGCCCTCGCCTCCGGCCCGGCGCCGCTCGCAAGCCCGTGCCTCTGCATCCTGCGGCCGCCTGCTCCTCCTGCCCTCGGGTAATGCTGCGGCTCCGCAGAGCTCCAGGCCTGCGGGCGCCCCGCGGTCGCTGTGTCCCCGAGCGCTCCGGGGGGCGCGGAGCCCGTCCCGGGAGGAGAGGGAAGCAGCAGAGGGCTGCCGGCACTCTGCCGGGGTCACTGCAGCCGGGGACGGGCTCGCGTGGAGCGCAGGGATGGGCTGCCCCAGCGGGAGGAGGCTGCAGCGCCCTGCTTCCCGCCCGCTGCCGCCGGGGCGGCCCAAATGTTCATCTGGGAGTAGAGATCTTGAGGTGTGAACGCCAGCAAGCACCGGGTAACCCGGGGAGGCAGCAGTTCCACTGCCCTGTGCCTGCTGGTGCATCCGGGGTGCTTCTTGTGAGCTGCTGCAGGACCTGCCCTGCAGAAAGCTCCCAAAACACACCTCCCAGCTCTGCTGCTCGCATGTGTGAGCACAGCTGGCTGAGTATCCTCACTGTCGTGCCATCAGGTGGGACCGCACCATAAACGGGCCAGCCGGGACTGAGGGTCCCTGTGAGGCCACCCCAGGGACCGGGCCTTCCTGGGTGGGGGTTGAGGCAGAGACCTGGTTGTTCTCTTGCAGATGGAGGGCTCTGAGGAGCTGGAAAGCAGCCTCCTGACTCAGCCCTGGGCTTCTGTTCGCTTTGGCGAGTCCACTTTTCTTGCCAAAGTGTGCTTCGTGGACACTGGCTATATTCTGCTGATCTCTGACCTCAGCAGTGTCTGGTACGAGAGTGCAGATGCCGAAGCTGTGGGACAAAGGTCCAAGGTGAGTATTTGAAAAGGGGCCTCCTTTTCTCCTCCCAGCAGCTGACATTCCAGCATAAATTGCTTGGTGACACAATGGCTGTTGGGTCTGACTGGGCTCGGGTGCAAATACCCAACCTGGGAAGTCCCTGCGTGGATGTGCCCAAGCCCTGTCACCCCACCTGGCCAAACACCGTTCTGCTGGGAGAGTGGGCCACACTGTTTAGGATGCCTGGGGCAGCCAGGTGGGTCTGCATACAGAGGCTGGCACAGTCTCTTCACTTGTGGGCTGGATGGGCAGCTGGTTTCCCCAGGGTCAGTCTACTAAAGAGAAGCTTGGAACAAGGCTGCCTTCTACTCATGACAGAGAGATTCTGTTCACATTCATAGCTAGTACAGTCTCTCATGGGGCATCCTGTCAGCTTGGCCCCCAAAATGCATAGAGCTGTGCCTCATTTCCTCAGCCCATGTGCCCAGGGCTTCATGTGCCATTGGAGTGGCATGTCCCTGTGTCACATAATGCTGTGTGACTGGTGGCAAGAGGGATGGGCAGATGCCTGCAGCCATCCCCTGGCTCTCAGCCAGGCCATGATGCTTGTGGTGGCATGCAGAACAGATGTGCTAGTGCTGACCTTTGCACCCTGCCCATCCTGGACCGGTGGGATAGGGGACTCTTCCCAGCATGGCTGGCTTCAGAGAATCAGTGAAGAATGTCATGTCAGAGAGCTGGAAGCCAAGGCCCAGGGATAGCTTTTTGCTGTGAAATATGCAGTAGTTTGTCTCCTTTGGCGTTGGGATTTCTGCTGTTTTTTCCCCAGTGCTGTGCCATGCCCCCTAACCTTGCCTTTTCCCAGGAGCTGAACAAGCGGCTGACAGTTCACGTGTCCTCCTTCCTGAACCACTTGTGCAACCTGATGTGCCCCTTGCTGGCAGGGCGGCCGAGTGCCACCACCTCCTTCTCCTGCCACCACTCTCCCAGTGGCCTCAGGCTGCACGTCAAAAGCGAGCTGTCAGGACTGCCCTTCTACTGGGACTTCCACTGCTGCCCTGCTCCCTTGGAGATGGTGAGCAAAGCTGCAGAGAGTTCAGGGAGGGCAGTGGCCAAAATTCAGGATTATCTCCTTATGCTTAGATGCTTTTGAGTAGTCTCCAGCCACGCTGGTCACTGTAGGGTGCCTGACTCTGCCTTCTGCCTCTCCTAAAGTTTACTGTCCCCATTTCTTCCCATTGAGGCTTTGGTCTGTGCTATGCAGTGACACAGGCCCAGCACATGGCATGAGTGAAATGTCCTTGTGAGAGCCCGTCTGGAGTTCTGCATCCAAATATGGGGTGCTTGGTGCAAGAAAAACATTGACATGTTAGAGGGGGTCCAGAGGAGAGCCACAAAGATGATAAGAGGGCTGGAGCTCATCTTCTACAAAGGCAAATTGTGAGAGATGGGATTGTTTGGCATGGAGAACAGAGGACTCCAGAGATACCACATTGCAGCCTTCCAGTACTTGAAGAGGGCTTATTAAAAAGAGAGAGAACAGCTTTTTGCATGGGCAGATAGCGATAGGACAAGGGGAAATGGTTTTTAACTAAAAGAGGAGACATTTAGATTAGCTTCTAGAAAAAAATCTTCATTTTGAGGGTGATGAGGCACTGGAACAGGTTGCCCAGAGAAGTTGTGGATGTTCCTTTCCTGAAAGCGTTCAAGACCAGGTCGGATGGGGCTTTATGCAACCTGATCTAGTGAGTTGTATTGAAAGTCCCTTCCAAACCAAACCTTTCTATAATTCTATGTCCAGTGCAGGGTGATGCCCTGCCAGCACCCTGTGGAGCAGAGTGGTGCTGTTCTCTTTAGGAGAAAGCCACGAAGCAGGGCAGAGGGCGGCAGGTACCCCCAAATGACCCGCAGCTGCTCTGTCACGACGGGCGGAATTACCGGCGAGTCTCCCGGCTTTGACGGGTGTTCCCTTTCACGGCACGTCGCGTTTCCAGCGGCAGCCCGTGTGGCGGAGCCGTGCCGCTGTGGCAGCGCTGCGGCCGGGCTCCCTGCGGCCCTGCGCGCACAAGAGGGC